ACGTGATCAAAAGCTGTCTCTTTCACTACAGCGGAGTTGAGTATTCGAAACTGGTGAGGCTTGTTAGGCATTGAATTTGCCACTCCTTTCCAAAATCCATGTTTGATTTTCTGACAAGAAAACAAAGTTTTCAATATTTTTTACGAACAAGCAGACTGTTGGCTGATATAGCCCCCGTTGTTTGTAAAGCATAGTCTGAAAGCAATACAAATGAAAAAAGTCTGATAGTCAAAGCAACATTATTTTTATTCAAAAATATTCATTAAAATTAGAAATTTTAAATTATTGTCATTAAACTAATAAATCTGATAGAGATGGTACCTACACATAAAATATCCAAGTAATTAGGCTAGGTGTTTTCAATATGAAGTCAAACACTGATGAATGAGGTGACCAAGTTTGATAAGGTTTGGAATAGAATTTAATAGTAAGTCTACACAATGACAATTGTTAACAGTGATATTGACGACGACAAACATTTTCCCTTAATATACCTTTCCCATTAATTTTTGATTATATGGACAAGGTAATAATGGCATTTTACCAAAAATGATGAGCATATACACTAAAATTAGAGAATTCAAGTTATTATTACAAAATGGAAAATATCTAAGCCAAATGGCATTATGATTTATCGATAAAGTAGAAAATGTAACATTATAGCACCAAAAACTGCCACTTTTGACTACACAAGAGGTCATTGTGTACAAAGGTCAGTCTTAAAATAATTGACTGGCATGAAGGATTATCATCTCCACTATAACAGTACCGGTATATATATTGTATCCAATCAGTCCTGGGCACAATATTATCTAGTTATTTCTCAATTACAAAATACTGTAAGTTGTAGTAGTATATTGTTGATTAATCACACAACCAGACACAATTGTTGCTTTGAACCCAACCATTACAGAAAAGACCTTATGGAAATTATATGTTGTAAACACTCACAGTAAGATCCACCTTGTCATGTGTGGCTACTAATGTAGCCCACTGTAAATCAACAGGTTTGAATGCAACCAATACAAATATAGCATTAGGATCGTAGTCATCTAATTTTGCTGGAGCACCCTCTGGGTGTGATATTCTTATCGTGGTTCTTGTTCCAACATCTGATTCATAACT